TTAGTATTTTTATTTAATATTTAGTAATTTCTTTGTTTATATTTTCAACACTTTTTATTTAACATTATTGTGCATATCCACATTTAATTAATTTGTTTGTTTGTTTATTTATGATCTGAAAACGTCAGCATTACCTTGTTGCTTTACTTTTCCAGTCAGTAGAAGTTTTCCAGTCAGTAGAAGTGGATAGTTACTGCATGGTAATTGTCTGCCAGCTGGCAACAAGCTATTTAATCCCAGATGATGAACTGAGTGGCTTTCATAAACAACCATGTGGAAAGACATATCCTGTGGTTGTGGAAAATATGTTAGTCTGTTTTAAGAAGGGTCAAGTCACTGGCATGCAAAGAAAACATCTAAGGCGACTGACTAAAACTGGAAGGAAAAACTGGAAGGAAAGCAAAGAACTATCATCTTTGAAAAAGAAATCTGGCTGGAAAAAACCTCTGAATGATCATAAATGGTGATCTATTTAACATTAACATTTGACAAAAAAAAAAAACAGTAGAACTTATGGCTTATGGTACAAGAGACTGTAAGAATGAAAGCAATAGCGTTTCTATGCGCAAGGAAGGCATGTGAAGGAATCACAAGGGATTTGGACTGAATGACCATAAGAAAACCTAAAATACCTCAAATAAATTGATAACCGACGTAATATTAAAATTAATGGTAATTTTTTAAAGTTTCATGATATTATGACTTGTATGATTGTGACTTTCGTTCTATTGAAGAGTGATGCTCGATAAAGAAGGCAATGATCATTTGCCAGATTACTTATGCAAATTTAAAAATTCTAATATGAAAAAGTGTACATCTCTCTCTCTCTCTCTCTCTTTTTTTTATTATTTTAGAAAGGTTTGGATTTTTCACTGGAACAATTTTCTTTAATAGTTCCTTTATGTTCAATAGTAAATTTGGCCGAAAAAAAAAGGTAAAAGAAATCGACTTTCTAAGACTCCTTTTCTATCAAATATATTCTGGCAAAACCACGGCATTGGCTATTTTCTTTCTGTTGGCAACCCTTCAATGCCACGTTCGCATTGTACATATCTGAAGTACATCAGAACTTGCAAAACACATTTCTATAAGGCTCCCTCCTGTGTATAGGATTCATGGAGTCAGCACTATGGGCAGATCCCCAAACGCAGCCTTTCAGCTCTTGGAACACAAAGACACAAAGACAAATGAATAAGCCGCTCAGTACAGTACATGGTGAAGTAAGGACTTTTTTATTAGAAAGCAGACATGTTTTTGTATTGCATTTAAAGAAATAAGGTACTCTTCGAATACACAACTTAAAACCCATGATGGGAAATACAACGATGGGAATGAAAGAGATTTGTATGCAACATCGAAAGTGGCAACTTGCATTTCCAGTATATATTATTGATGCTTGAGAGTCAGAAGGCGCATAAACATTTCAACATTTTGTCTCTTTTATGAAGCAGTATCAACACTAAAATAGCCTCATCCCAATTTGCCTGGGCCAAGCCCTGCTGATAGTCAGAACCAACACGATGATCAAAGTATGAGGTTGCATGATAAAATCTTCCTTTTTTTCCTCTCTCTCTCTCTCTCTCTCTTTTTTTTTGAAACATCTGTGTTGTCGTCCATCATCAGGTCACCAAAAAGCCCAGAGAATGACAGATAAGGTCCATGCCAACTGAGGACAGCTCTGCCCAATGAGCACCAAGGTTTGAGTCAGTCCTTGCTACAAACACGCGCGCACACACACACACACACACACACACACACACACATAAAACCAAGAAGGCTGCAGTTGACACCATCGACCCTCCATTCTGAAAGTAAGCCAGTACAGAATGAAACGAGCTAAAAGACAAAAGCAAATAGCAAACTCACAGCAAGTCATTTCACATCCCCCATAGTGCACTGTTGGGCCTCATCCCTTTTCTGATTGTCAGCGCTCTGAACACATGGCTTTAAAAGTTGCATCTACTCGTCTGTTGCCTGTAGCCTTGGTCACCCTTGATGTTTTTTTTTTATTCTTTTCTTTCGGTTTTCTAAGTAGTTCTAAAGTGCTGGCATCATTTTCGAGGACACAGACATACACGCACAAACTTTTCAGTGCATTTCTTTTCTTAGTTTCTGAAGATTTAGATGCACACTCAAACTGGGTAGTTAGTTTATGTATGCCGCTCTTAATCAGTATTTTGCTGTCGATTATGAAAGAGATTACATTTTATGCAAACATTCAATGAAAGGCCAGGGCATATGATTAGAAAAAAAAAATACAGCCCCGTCGACTGCAAGTCGACTCAAGTCTCTGCTTGCAAACAGTGAAAACAGTTATTCAGCATAAAATACAGGGTGCATAAAGATCAGAGGTTTCATCGGGTCAGGGTGAACATCTGAATGGCATGCATTTTATGATACAAGTGTAATTTTTGCATATCAGTGTATAATTTTCAGGGTTAACCTTTCAGCAGAGCAAAAAAAAAAAACAAAAAAAAAAAAACAATTACAGTGCCCATTATTTTTACAGTAAAAGAGGCAGAGAGCCAAAAGAAGAGGAGAAAAAAAAGTTTTGAATAAAATAATGAAAAAATTGTTTTTGCACAGCCACCAGCCCCATCCTGTTTCTCATTTGAGCTCGCAGTAAACATGACACTGGTTCCCATCGAAGAAACATGTAAAAATCATACACGTTATTTTACCTTTTTTTTTTTCTATTAAGCACCTCAGACGGAGCTCATTCTCTCATAGGTTAGCCATAACATTCTCTGAGAATTTCTCATTTTAAAGTGCAACATCACCCAGTTACCCATGCACAAGATGAAAAAAAAAAAATCAAAGATTCCAGGAAGCTAAAAAGGAAAGTTTAAAAAAAAAAAAAAGTTAACAAACTGACTGTGAAGGTGAGGTTTTACAGAGGAAGACGCATTTGAGCGGATGCACAAATTCAACTACATCTGATTTTATTTACATATTTTTGATAGGTTTCCCCGTTTTGCTCAGCATGCAAGGGTGTCCGAGAAGGAACCGGTCTTATTGTAAATAAAAGCTTAAATAAACACAGTGACCCTAGTAAAGGGAGCAAAGTTTTTACATTCAAAAATGACATGAAAGAAAGTAAGTCAGCTAAAGTATGTCAACATAGTTAGAGTCATAATTTTAAAGTTTAGAATAGCAATTTCAGTAAGAGAAAAGTCTAATCCATACAGCCTCCTTGGCTTGTTTGTTTCTGAACAACTACTATGGCACAGACCCACATTCACAGTCTAAGGCACTGCTCCACACTTCTTTCATCACTGCAATGGAGTATATCACATTTTCCTAGGTCCTTACAGCTACTGCACTCTTTTAATTAGAACTGCTCTGAAAACTGTGTTAAATTGAATGCAGAAAAAACACATTCTGTTTAAAGACACATCAGAGAAAGCAGAGATTTAATTGTACAGATTCAATATCGTTTAATCTCGGACCACTTTCACCGATTTAATAAGGGATTATGGTGGGTTTTGATTTTAAGGTGGCTTGCCTTTCAACGTAAATGTATTTGTTTTTAACTGTTTATTTAATTTTAACACAGCTAGCTTATTTGACAAAACAGGAGGTGAACCCAATAGACAAAAAAAAAGTAATATTTTTTTATTTATTCCCTCAGAAGAGCAACATCAAATAAATTAGACAAGATGACGCTATAATTTAGTAAATCTTTTCATTTCACCACTGGATGAGCATATTTAAAATCATGTGGAGTAACTGAAACAAACCTCAGTTTTACACTTATTAGGATACTGCTGCCTGTGCTTCAACACACTGGAAGACCTGTTTGTATCAATTTTAAAAATATTTAAGCAAAAACATCACTATCAGTAAAGTTAATTTTAAATTTCTTTTTTTTTTAAGTTTGCAATTTATGTCAATAAAAAAAATGAAGCCACATACTAAACAAAGAGATTCAATAATTTACTATATCATAAAAAAAAAAAATAAAAAAAAAGACTGTGACCGTCACCATAGCAATGCTACAATTTACATTCAACCATCATCTTGGCCATTCATAACCCTGGCTTATCTGGGGCAGATTACAGTTCTTCCCAAAGGGGGAAAAATATAAAATAGAAAAAAAAAATCAACTGTAAACGTTATGAACATTACCTATAGTGCAATCCTGACCCTGTTTTTTTTTTTTTTTACAGGGCTATCTAAAAGCTTACCCTAAAGATCCAAGATATACTTGTCGAAGACGGAGAAAAATTTGGCCCAACCTCTAAAGTGGCACATCACTGAAAAATACATAACAGATCAAATTTACCGGGAGCATCTCCTTAAACCTCCTTAACCTCACTTGTGCAATCACCACATTTTTTTTATTTTTATTTTTTAAGAATATTTGTGATAAAAAATTTTAATTTACGGTCTACTTTTGTAATTGAATGTTCTTCGACTGCTGACTGAAACCCACGACAAGCAAAGAACAAGGGGCGACATTCAACAGTGCATCATTTTAAATCAATGCATGAAAGAAAAACTATAAAGAAAGGCTCTTTGGACTGGGTCCTATGCATGGCAACGGCAACAAGCGTGAAAACAGACATCAAAAACAGAAAACAGGCTTGACGAATGCACGGCCTCAGTCCCCCCCCCACCTCCAACAACACACAGAAACAGTCATCATCAATAGAGACCCGTTGTTTCTATCTGAGCCCACAGAGTGCCTGATTGACTATGCAATCAGGGTAATGTGATGGCGATTTTGCAGTCTTTTGCATGAGCCGCTTTTCCAGAATCCTTGGCTTCCCCCCCACTCGCTCAACTCTCTTGAGTGCAAACGCAGTAAACCGGCGTAATTTGCTCTTAAAAGTTTTCTTTAAATAATTTACCCACCAACTCATTTCCCCCTTGGAGAGCGAGAAATCAAACCAACAACAAAAACAGGATGGAAACAGGACAGAATTGACTTGGTACATTTCACAACACCTCATGAAGGTGGAACAGTACTCCTCTCTGGCATTGCTTTTGTTTTTTTCAGTGTAGTGCACTTCATATATTCACTCTTCTCCGTTTAAGTGGACAATACACTCTGCAGAATTCGTACAAATAAAAAAAAACAACAACAAACTCAGACTAATTCAATGTCAGAAACAGTCAAAGCAGGGTTACATCAAGATCATTTGTAACGTTTGGCGGCCTTTTCCCAGAAAGAAATGGAAAAAGTGCTTCTAGTTTTTAAGCATCACAGCTCCAGGCAAAAGTAGCTGTTATCTTATTTCATTGCAGAAATTGGACTCTGCCGTTCTCATTAGCAAATACTGCCAGCCATTGTTTGGATTAATGCATGCAAGTCTTGACATTATCTCACGTTTTTTTTTTTTTTTTTAATTCATGTCTCTGCATCTCCAAGAATTCTGTGATTTTTGGAGTTAGAAAGCACTGCAACATATTCTTTTGGACAGTGTGCCATTTGATTACATCAGTACATTAAACGCTTGGATTACATAAGTGTAATGATGAATGAGCGAGTGTTTGTGTGTTTATTTGGATGTACATATGTGCGGCTTGGGAGGTGTGGTCTGGAGCAGACACAGGCATCACATTGACAGTCTTGTCTGATATGTCTGACTAGATATGCACGAGAAACCAACAAATACGTGTGATAGATTTGTTATGTTGCATTTGTTCTTGGAGTTATGGGGAAAAAAAAAAAATCAGTAATTGCGGAAGATAATATTTTTGTAATTTTCATCATAAAAGTGACAACACAGTGTGTTGTAAAAGTATCCATACTATTGCAAACTTTCATTGTATTTTATAGGGAATTTATGTGACAAATCAGCACAGAGCATCTGTTTCTTGTGTGTGTGTGAATGCGCCTCACAGTCACACACACACAAGAAACAGATGCTCAATTTTAAGCAAAAAATAAAAATCTGAAATATTCTCAATACTCTCAATTCAATTTGATGAATTCGGGTTACAGAAATCCCAGTTAGTCATTTCTGCAAATGACTAACTGTAAATGACATTCTTTTCAAAGGGAAAAAAAAGGACAAGAACTTTCAGTTTTGCTGTGCAAAGCTGCTCAGAAGATCTGAAATTACAGTGAAGTTCAGGAAGTACTGACTCAAGTGTGGGGGTGAATAAAAAAATGTATTTGTTTAAGAATAGTAGAAAACCCTACAGCATTGACTCAAACTCGATTCACATACATGCACTGGTTTTTGTTGGTCTGTCACGTAAAATCCAAATAAAATTCAATAAAGTTTGTAGCTGTGACAAAAAAAAATTGGACAGGTTCAAAGCAATGCAAGGTAAAATAAAGGCAAAGGTTTCTTATTTTCTAGACAAGCCTTTCACAGTACATTCTATATGAATAGTAATGGGATGCAAAGTGGTCTTGCTGTAGAGATATGTTTCTCAAATACAATTTTCCCCCAAATCACTTTATGAAATAATATTACACTGCAAACTACAACCTGCTGCAAACCAGCTGTTGGTGGTGTCGCACTGATATGATGAATCATTACAGCCATCTGTTTTGTTATTTGACCTTTTGGAATAATGCTGCAGACGCCCCAAGTGCTGAATACATACTTGGACCCGAACTGACTAATGCCATGCCTGTGTATGCTTTTAATAGCTGTTTCTTTCTTCTTCATCTTTTTTTATTTTATTTCACTGCATGTAAGTCTCCAAATACACAAGCACACACGAGCGCATGCATGTGCGACCAACTTTTTTGTCTGATAAAAGTTGCGAGTGCAGCTTTGTGTGTGGAGAACAAAATTTCCCTGTCGAGGAAGCATGGAGGAGAGGAAAGAGTGACGGACGAGACGGCGAGAAGAAGTAAATGTGAGTGTTAGACGCATTTCACGACATGGGGGAGGGACGCTCAGTGTCCGTTCAACCTCAGATTTTGTCCAAAACTTTCCGCCCCCTGCTCGGGGGGCGTGTCTGCCGATCCGACCACCGACACCAAGATCGGCGCCCCCAGTGATCGGTCCGCGCCCTCCGATCCAGCTTCGTCGTCATCCTCCTCCTGTTCCTCCTGGACTGCTGCTTCGCCTTCACCCTCGGCTTCTGCCCCAGCCGACCCTGCGCCGGGGCTGGCCGCATGAGTCCTGAGAGGGTCCTTGCGTTCTGGATACAACCGTTGCTCTAGGCTCTTCAAATCATGCTCGAAGGAAAGGGAAACTCCTGACTGAGGGGCACTGAGGGCTAGGTTCAGACCAACGGCGGCGGCAGCACTCATGCCCATGCCCGCCCGGTACACTTCCATGCCGTCAGGCAGCATGGACTTGATCTTTGGGAGCCATCTCTTGCGGACCCGCCTTGCGTTTGTGCACATGTCAGCAGCGATCACATTCATTTCACTCTCCTTGAAGTTAGGGTTAAAGTTTTGACAGTAGACTGCAAAAAGAGGAGAAAACAGCCATGTCCACTTAGTCAAACAGCTCCTATTAAAACAAGGCATGCACAAGATCATTTACACAATAAACCTACGTTTCACAGCATTGAGGACCCTGCTGTCCAGGGGCTTTCTGCTTGGGTCACTTGTGGAAGAGCGGATGCCTGTCCCACAGCTATTTGCCAGAGTGTTTCTACAGAATCGCACAGTAAACACCAGGGGGCAGAGTCAGTAACAAACATATACAGTAAATCACATGGGGACACACAGAAACACACACTCATCTAGCTGCATTGCACAACATGACCACAGATGGAGTGTGAAAGTTGATTTGTGACAACGGCAGCGGCGCTGGAATCAAGCACACATCTAAGAGACGAACACACATGTCTGAACAATAACTGCCAACTCGTGCTTTGCTTTGCACTCACCTATCAAAGAACGTGGCTAAGAGGCGACGGAGCAACACTTTGTGTTTGATGCCGGCACACAGATGGCAGTTCATAAGTTGGCCTCGTGTCATGAACACCTGGGTTCCTGAGGTACACGGAGAGAAAAGAATTTCCTGAGATCAACGCCTCTATCAGAATCCGTTTCTTTTCACGTTTAGGTTTCTTCTCGTTTTGTTGCAGTTCATCTTTCAGTCATGTCTGCATTTCATGTCTTTAAGGGAGTCAGACACACCATCAGCATCATTACCAATGCCTAAAGTTATTGTTTCACAAAGGGTTTTTAGATACTCATTGCAAAGTAATTCATATTGATATGTACAACTTCCATTTCAAATGTTTCTAAATGTAAAAAACCCTAAATAAATTCACATCAAGTTCACAACCATAGACTAATTTGTGTTGTATATCCCAGTAAAATACACTTACGTTTGCTGAAGTAATGTGACAAGAAATATTCCAAGCAATATGAACACATTTGAGGGACATTACTGCAGACTACAAGTCAAAATTAAGCATGTTTACTTCATTTAATGTATACTAAAATTAGATATGATTTTTTCTCCCACATTATAAGTTTCTGAATTCCTGTGCTTTTGGAATACCTAACCTTAACCAAAACTTGCTAATGTTGCTATGATCATCTCTGTCTTTCAGAAAATTGCTCAATGCTTTTGCTTGAAAATATTCAAGAAAAAAGAAATCTATTTTTCACTTTGCTCCCCTCATGCCGAGTGGTCACTGCCCATTCAGAGCATCTTCTCTGTCGATCGCCAAGAGCAATATCTGGCAGTCAGGCCACATCATTCAGTTTTTGAGTCATCATAACAGCAAGAGAGAAGAAAAATCATTTCTCTTCACATTCTCAGAGCTCTGTAAGGGCCATTTGGCAAACACCCGGCAGCCAGTCATATGCTTTTTACTTTAGTCTGACTTCTACTCGGTCACTCTTCCATAAAGCCCTGATTGATTATATCTGCAGAGATGGTTGTCCATCTGCCACAGTCTTAAATCTCCACACAGGAACGCTGCAGCTCCGTTTTATTCCTTTCAGACCGCGCAAATTCACAGCACGAATTAAACCCAAACAAATTGAAATATCTGAGGTCTACCAGCTAGTCACGCTTCGCGACCCCTTCGTGACTTCTGTGAACGTGCGTCAGACAGGTTTTTTTTTTTTTTTCCAATTAGCTGTTACAATTCAATTTAATCAAAATATAAACGCAAATACAAAAAAATAAATAAATAAATAAAAATGTCCTTAGCCAGAGAATAACTTTTGACAGATTGCTGAGGGTTAGTTCTCTCATTCATGATCTGTTTGTTCTCTGATCCACAAATGGTGTTTCTATTCCTCAACAAAGCGCCCCTCTGACATCCTGAGTTTATTAGTTTGAGTTAATTCAATCAGTGAAATGCACTTTGATAGGTACTGGATTTTAAATTTAAATTAGGTGCAACAGTGTGAATGTTTTCCAGAGAACTAATGTTATCTGTGCATGTTAATGTCTTTTCTTTTCATGTTTTTTTATAGAAGCTTGTGTTTGTGTGCCTACCGGCGACCAATTCCAGCTTCTCTCCTGGGTCCCCCTCAGTGTAGAGCTTAGGGTGGCAGCGGTAGCCAATCTGGCTTATGAGGCTTGCAGGAAGTGCCACCAGGTCTCTGCGGATGAGCACGCAGTTGCGATTTTCCAAGGCCAATGGCATTGCTGCCAACTCTGCCTTGTCCTGGACTAATAACATCAAAAAGAGAGAGAAATATTTTGAGGAAAAGAAATTGGAGACATAAATAAAAACACAACGTTACCATTGCTGTAAGCTTACAACAGTGCTTTGCAAAAGTATTCATACCAACTTCAGTGTATTCATTTGGATTATTTGTTAAAGACTCCCTTGTAGTGCATAATTGTCAAGTGGAGGAACACCATACAGAATATTTTTACAACAAAAATAGGTTGACATGCGGTGTCTACCTCCTTTCTTCAATATCCCTAAAAAAAAAACATCCAGTGCAACTGATTTGCTTCAGACAACGTGAGTCTACTTTCTCCTAATGTAACTTCAGTACCAATCTCAGTTGCCAAGAGATTTGTTAGAAAATGTTTGTCAATAAGCAGCTTCTAACGTCCAAAGACAATGCTGTACACTTAAAATGACAGAGTGGACACATTTGGCAATCACTGGAGAAGCAGCCAAGAGCCCCATGATAAATCTGGAGGACCTGCAGAGAACAGCTCAAGTGGAAGAATGCATCAACAGGACAACAATTAGCTGAGTAAATCTGGCCTGCATTGACGCACTGGCAATGTTAAAGCTGACATCTAAAGAAAGTCATAAGAAGCCATGTCTGCAGTTCACCAGGGCATTTTGGTCTAATAGAAAACTTAGTAGATGTTGCAAAATGCTTGAGATCGGGGCAGAGGTTCACCCTCCAGACGGACAACAACCATTAATGTGTATAATGACGTGTTTGATTGACCCGGGCCAGAACTAAACCCTAATGCCATTCTGATACAAAGCCACTGCCCCAAAAGACTTATAGCTGTAATTGTTGCAAAGTAGCTCCCCAAGTGGACTCCAGGAGGCTGAATCTAAATCCTCTCTACATGTTTTTGAATTAATAATAATAATAATAGTAATAATTGTTGAAAACCATTTTTCATATTCCTTCCAATCTACAATTATGTGCTACTTTGTGTTGGTTTGTCTTTGTGTTCACTGCCCTCCTTTCATATGCATCTCTGACACAACGCACCTGAATGGAATGAATGATTCATCGTCAGCCCCATGAAGAACTTTGTGAGACTCTGCGGTGATGATTCAGACATTTAAATTAGGTGTAATTAGAGAAGGGATGTGTTTACAAGTTGTAGGACAGTGGCTCTCCAGGACTGGAGCTGGAAGTCCCTGGCTCACTGCATAAAATCTCAACACCGTAGACGTTTGAGGTTGTGGGAAAACATAAAAAAAACAAAAAAAAAAACAGGTAGGGATACTTTTGCAAGGCACTATGCATGCTGCAAAAGCAAAAAAAAATAACATTCTTATCACCACTTTCTGTTCCCTTATTGACAATAAAGGATTTGAAATTGAGTTTGTGAAGTAGCTTGGGTAATCTGATGCAAGTTTGTTGTGTTTCATAAATGTTTCAGAGCATTGCAGATGTATCCCAGATAAGTAATGATGCTGCATCAGTAACCTGACTTTTGGAGGGACCCAAATCCAAAAAAAAAAAAAAAAAAAAAGAACAGTTGGGTTTTTTCCACCCTAAATGATTTGCTCTAACCTCTGTGATGACTTGGAGATATATGAGCACAGACGCAAAATAGAGAGAACAGCAGGAATGAATGTATTATTTCCAACACACACACACAATAGATGTTTCCCTGTGCATATGTGAAGATACTTCTGCTTGCACACACACACACGCACACAGGAAAGAGGTGCATGGTTCTCAAATATCCAACAATGTCACCCTGCGGTGCTCTGACTGATTGCAGATAGAGTGGATTTCATGAATTACTGAAACTCTAGAGTTTAACAAACCCCTTGCCATGCCTTTCAGTTTCAGGGTGAAAAAAGGATGATGGAGAGTGGATGCATATGCCATGTTTGTGAAACGTCTGCTTCCTGGATGTGAACGTAAACAAAACGGATGCGTTCAAGAGCAGGGATGTCTGCACCGGTGTGGAATTATGTTGAAAACATCTTTACAAAGTGAAGGAGCTGCTATTGCTGTGATAAGGGCTGTGTTGTTGGTCACGATGCACTCCGATCCCAACTCCATAAGGCTATCTTTAAAATGTGAGAACCCACACAAACTCTGGAGGCACAACGTCCTGCTTTCCTGAGATGTGCAGGATACAAAATTTATCAAAGATTAAATTATAAATGGAATAAAATGGATGTTGATATCTTATTTCTTCTTATTGAAGTCCTACTAATTTTTTTTCTGAAAGTCATTTTGAGCCTTACTTAAATGTTTATGTTGGATTGGTCCCATTTCAAGTGAATATCCCAGATTTGCACTTATGCAGAACATTAGTATAAAACTCATCGAATTTCAATTTCGAGTGATACGGGGGTTCTTGCTCTGAGAAATAATCTGGTTGCCTGGAATCAGCTGATTTCATGTTGGACCGGCCTGATTGGTAATCTGCCATCAGAAACAAAGCCTAAGAAGAAACTTCTTGGAAGTAAAATGAGTTTTCTTTGAAGGTATTTCAGCAATTTCTTTAAGTTGGTGCCAACAAAATAACAAGAACCTGAACATAGCGCAGCAAAGAATAGTTCAAGGGATTGAACTGTTCAATCCCTTGAATAGTTCAATTCAAAGAACTGATGGGTGTCTTGGAAATCCCACAGTTAAGATCTTGGAGTTAAATCTACAGGGGAATGCAAACAGAGATTGATGCTGATAGTTACTATTGCTAACCAGGCTTATCTGTTGTATATATATATATCTCTGCCCCGTATCCTGAAAGATTTTAGGTATGTTTAGATGTTTAGTTATGCAGAGAGAAACAGCTTTGTCACCGTGATGCTTCTGAGAAGGCGTTGTTATATGTTATAAATATTTTATTGCTTGGACAATTATGTCTTCAAATTATGCAGAAATTGGGAAAAAGATACAGTTCTTGCAGATAAATCAAAAAGGTTTCCCTTTAAACTTTACAAATCGGTGACTGGAAATCAGTCGCACATCTAATTAATGTATAGTCTTTTGCTTTGCAAAAGTATTTTCGTAATAACAAACAGCGTAAGACTGGACTGTTGTTATACTCACTCCCATAGGGGTTAGTGGGACGTCCATAGATCTGACTGTAGGCGTCCTCTGTGATCCCGTCATATGGCTCTTCCTCAAACTCCTCGTCATCATTCTGGTAGGATGTGGGGCTGTCTGTGGTGGGAAGGCTCGACTCTCCTGGGCTGGACCTTTCCGCACCTGTTCCTCCGCCTGCCCCGCTCCCGGCTCCGCCTCCAGTGGTTCCTTGAAGGTGGAAGGTAGGCATACCAGGAATGGCAGGCCCTCCAGCTGCTGTGTAGAAGGCCCTCGCCAACCGGCTCCCCAGCTCCGAGGTCGAAATCTTGGTTTGTGTTGAGGGTGTGGAAATCGGTGTTGGGTCACCCACTTCTATTTTGATTTTACGCTGCGGCAAGAGTAGGGCCGACGTAGACCAGCTTTGGGTTCCCAGAACGCTGGCTACTGACAGGCCGATACCATTATTGAGAGGACTCTGCGGCTCCGATCCCGTCTCCTCCAAGGACCCTGCAGTTTGCGAGTCACAGTGAGGTGAGCTTGCCTTAAACATTAGGTCCATGCCTCGTTCAACTATATGCTGAATCTGGAGGTAGCCAGCTGTGTACATGACAACCAGCTGTTCGCTCGCTGCCATCGTTAGCTTCCCTGTGTAGCAGAATGTGAGGATCTGCTCAAAGCAAGCAGGTGTGACTGAGGAAGGCAACTCAAACTGGGACTTGGTTGAGCTGCTGAAGAGGTCACGAAAGTAGAGGCTGCTGGCTGCCAAAACGGCCCGGTGGGCTTTAAAAGCCTGACCTGGTTCAGCCAGAGAGGGACGTTAAAAACATTTCTGCAAAATTCACTAATTAATAATAATAATAATAATAATAAAAAATCCAGCTTACTCACCTTTTACCAATATGGATACGTCACAGTGATGTCCCAGCAGCCGCTGCTCATTGAGGGAGCCCAGAACCGTGGCTCCAAAATTCGGGATCTCCACATGGAGCAGCTGGGACATGTTGGCCGAAGGGGGAGAGGAAGATGGGCTTTCAGATTTTCACTCTTCCACCAAGAAAGACATCTGTAAAATCAAAACAGGCAAAACAAAAAATGTATGGAGGACATCTTTTAGCAAGAAAAAAACAAACAAAAAAAAACAAAAGTAAAAAAAAAATGTGTGAAATATGAATAGATTTGCCAGAGGGAGAGAGAGAGAGAGATACAAGGAACGACAACTGAGAGGAGGAAGCAAAGACTGAAAACTGAGATGGAATTAAGTGAGAAAACGAATACAGTTGAGGGAGAAGTGAGAGGAGTGTGAAAGAAAGATGGATATGCGAAGACAGTGGGTGAGAGATTCAGACAGGAGAGAGGAAGGAGGAGCCAAGTCACTCCACAGGAGAAAAAAAAAATGAACACAACGCCATGCCTACTGTATGAGAAATGTTGTGAAACCTCTTAAGGCTATGTTGTTTGAGATGACTTTTAATTCCTGGAAACCTCAGGCTCATTCCATGTATTGCTTGTCATGCATGAACAGCAGTTTCCCTGCAGCTTGGACCTTGATGGCCTGGAAGATAGCCTTGACAATAACTTTTTTTTTTTTTTTTTTTTCCCTCAGCAATAAAACCCACTGAGTACAGACAGTTTTTCATGTCAGAGTTCATAGATTCTCCTTCATTTTGCTGACGCCTCATCTTTGTCAGCATTTGCTCCCCTTATAAGCTTCGGATAGACAGATTTTCTCTTTACGCGTTAACGCCGACAGTTCCTTGAATTCCTTCACAGCCCATTCTCCAGGAAAACTTGCACCTTCGTTACTTCCATGAACCTTGTATCATTGTCTTTGTCTCTCCACCTACCCACACACACACACACACACACACACACACACACATATACGCAGTAGTTTCATTATTGAGCAATGCTGCAGAGCAGTTTCCAGGAATACAAACTGAAAAAATGTCACCGCCTCTTTAACACACAGACACACACACAAACACACAAAGCCTCTCTCTCTCTCCCTCCCTCCCTTTCTCTCTCTCTCTCTCTCTCTCTCTCTCCCACTTCATGAACTCCATACAGACACACATGCACTCTGGCTTACTTACATAAAAGCGTGCATGCATACACAGATACACAGGCGCAGGCAGTGTAGGCTGCATAGGGAAATTACTGTGTAACCTGGCACCTAAGCACTCACCTGGAGGAAAACAGCACATCATAACTTTTCCTCTGCTAACACGCAGAAATACTGCTCACCGTTAGCACAGACAGTTCTGAGTTTTCTGCTTTAAGCAGAGTCGGGAGCAGGACAGATGAGGAGTAGTACAGACAGCAAGAAGAGCACTCTGATGTTTCCCCTCCGTTTGGCCAGCTCCCGCTTTCACCTAAAGTGTCTGCCTTAGAGAAGCTTCTATGACTTTTTTTTTTTTTCCTCCTCTTCCTGCCTCCTATCTTTGTGTCCTCCAAGACCCCATTCTCTCTGCTCGCGGTCTGCTCCAGCCCCGTCTCAATGCCTCCTTATCATTATCTCTCCTTGCTTTCTACTCTCTGAGGGCTGAATTCAACAAGTGCTGCTGTACAGAGGGAAGAGAGGAGCAAGAGAATATAGAGGAGAGAGAGAGAGCGCGAGAGAAGAGGGAAGAGCAGGGCGAATCAATGATGAAAGGAGTGGGAGGCTGGGTCGGTGAGTGTGTGTGTGTGCATGTGTCTGCGCGCGTGTCTGATCAATGCAGTATCTATACGTCGCAGGGAGTGGGAGGGAGAGAAAAACACAGGCTACAGTTACAGACCGAGACAGCGACTGGGCAGAGAGAAAGTCCGAGGGAGGGAGGGGAGAGTTGAGACAGAGAGAAAGTCATTTGAGGACAATACGAGCAGGGAAAGACAATTAGATTGAAGCAACTTCTGCCACATGCCCCTTAACACGGATGTCTATACGGTGCGACAGAGCAGAGGGAGGGGAATGACTCAGACAAAAGAGAAATGAGAGAAGCCTGCAGAGGTCGTGAACACTGTTAATTAATTAGACACGGAATAGTGAAACTTCTGAATTGCCGCTTTGACGCAAGTCTGGAGAGAATGCATCATTCCTTCACTCAGCCAGCCGTTAAACTGGAAGGTTTGAAAAGTTTGCTGAGAGGTGTTTTCCACTTTTTGAGACAATAGCGGGGGACAAATAAAGAGAGAGGTTTTTTTTTTTTTTACTTTTCAGCAAGTGTCGTGTATGTTCTCTGAATCATGCCAGGACATCTCTTGCCAAAACACCCACACACAACCAGAGCAAAGCACTGTCTCCACACAAGCCCTATTTTGCACATGAATTGATAAATTAAATGATTAATTTACACCTCCGCTTTGGTAGCTCTGCTTATTTAGGTGGCATTTCTCTGCTTCTGCTGTTTCTTTTTTTTGCCAGCACAGAAAAAAAAAGAAAAAAAAAAAAAACGGCCTCCATAGATGTCGCTTGACGTGGATGAGAGAGGAGAGGAGACGGATGTTGCAGCCGGTGACAGGACAACGGCAACGAGAAGCTCAGTACCGGAGACTATGAGTTCCACGAAGATCTGTGTGGGAGGCTTAAAAAAATGCTAATTGCTTTGATGGATGTGCAACAAATGTATTATTGTATTTGTGTAAACACCTACTACCTGCAAAAGTATTCACACCCTTGCACCTTTATCATATTTGAGCAGCTATAAGGCTCAACTATATTTGGATTTAATGAAAAAGACCAACATAAGGCGGCGCATAATTGTGCACGAGAATGAAAAGGACAAATGCTTTTTAAAACTTTCATTTGCATCCGTTGCCACTGTGGCAATACTTTGTAAAACCACTTTTTCAGTGCAATTACAGTGGAATTTTTTTTAGGCCAATGTCACTAACAGGTGTTCTCCAGATCAGTTACATCAACTGATTTCCTCAAAGCGGAGGAGCGGTGACTGTACACAAAGTTCCCCCCAAACGGCGAAGTCCCTCACCTTGTCTTAGAACCAGCCTACAGAGGAAACTCACTTAAATCACTGTATCAGTGATCTCGTTCTTCCGGTAATGAGCCATAGCTTATGACAATAGGTGACCGACTCCTAAATCCTGAGCCTCACTTTGTCGCTCAGCTCTTTCTCCACTCACCATTGCAGGCTGGAGAAATACTGCAGAAGAGACACAAATCCATCCATCAATAAATCTCCTGATCTGTCCTGCCATCGCTGAACCATTGCCCCAGACTTGATATTTAAGTCTGGAGTTTGACTGGGTCAATCTTTTATCAAACCTTTCCACTGGAAGTCCAGCGGTTGGTTTAGGGTCACCATGCTCAAAGTTTGACCTTACTTCCCACTTGTTTTCTGTAACAGGTTTACTTCCACTATTTCAAATATTTAATCCATCCAACTTCTCTTCAACTCTGACCAGCCTTCATGTCCATGCTGAAGGAAGACCTTCCCACAACATGGTGATGCTATCACCTTATTTCCCAGTAGGCTGACGCACATGAATTGTGCAACTTTTCTGTCTGAAGTGTAGGGTAGCATTTTGCATGTAGGTCAGAAAAGTTTAACTCTGGCCCCCTTATGACCAGATTATGTTGTTGGACATTTGCTAAGCTCCCAACGTGGCTTGGCAAATGTTTAATTTAGGACTTGTTGTTGGATGTCTTTCAACAATGACTTTATCTTGCCAAACTTGCATAGTGACCAGATTTCTTGAGTTGGAAGACTATTAGTTTTCTTGTCAACAGCTCCTCCAGAGTTACCTTGGGTGTCTTGGCTCTCTATGTCTGGCCTTTCATCTCAGACGGGCAGTCGTGCATCGGTAGACTTGCAGCACTGCAATGCATCCTCCCACTCTTTATAGCTTAAAAAGACATGCAAAATCATAAATAATTTCCTTTCATGTCACATGAACTGCTTTGATATGATCTATTAAATGGAAACCCAATAAAATACAAAACGTAAGAACGGTTGCAAGGCAGCATACACACAAAAGTTGCAATTCTTGCATGCTAGCTTAAAACCGAGAGGCATGATGGAAACAGCTCCATCTAAAGAAATGTTAGGAGATGAGAGCAATCACGACCTTCAGAATCTCATTCCATCTTTTTTCCTTTGAATATGGAACATTAAAATAAATAAATAAAACGCTGACGCAGAGCACTTTTTTTTTTTTTTTTTTACATCGGAGCGCATTCCCTGAAAGTGTCAAGACACTCATTTCACTCTCTGCCAAAGTAACCTCAGGTGGAGAAAGTTGCACTTTAAACTGAGCAAACTTTTACTCTCCTCAGTCGCAGCGGAAACATGAAAGTGAAGATATCACCGAGGGTTGAATACAGTGAGTCAGTGAGTTTGGTTGGGAGAGCTTAGCCACAGAGTGTGTGGTATCTGCACGCCACATATAGGCATACATGAGTGAGCTCACACAAAAAAAGCTCTGTGAAACGCCGGAGAAACAAATCCGCAAACATGCTAATGCAAACAGACATAAACTCAGTCCCCTGCGCTTTCTCTCTCTAACACACACACACACACACACACACACACACACGGTCAGGTAATCTCCCCATGCACACTCAGCAATACACATTCTGTTTGTCTGTGTGTCTGTCCCATTGGGATGCTGCCAGACTGCTTGTCCACTCGTCTGTCTATTGGTTATTGTTACTATTGTGTCCTTACATTGCCTCTTGCCCACCTCCCCCACCCCCCAGCACACCCTCCCTTTTTTCCTACCCTTCCCATCCTGCATACCACGTACCCACTGTCTCTCTGCCAATTAATGCACACAGGGCTGCATTGCAGTGAGGTTGGCGCGTGCCACGGCAGCAAGCACAGTACAGAGTCTACAGACATGCATGTACGTGCCAGCCAGGCAGAGCGGGAATGAGAGGATGGAGGGAGGGATTGGAGGAGGGGAGGGGGGTTGGAGCAGAAAGGGAAAAGAGTAAGAGGGAGGGGGGGGGAGAGAGAAAGAGCAAAGGAGAGTGAGCAGAGAATATGTTGAGTCAGGCAGACAGGACAGTGGAGTGCCACATAGCACATATACAGAGACACATAGCTGCATATTTATGCAAATGTATGCCAGAATGAATAAGAAACAGGAACACATGCATTACAGAGGAAAATGTGCAAAAGAAAAATGCAAGGTGCACATGTGCATTTACACACACAAGAATTGACACGCAAATTCCAACGAAATCTGCGTGTCAAAACTTTTGCTCCCATTACCCGAGGAGAGTTTGCTTTCCCATCTTCGAACTTTCTAGCAAATTAAGACACATTTTAATAATCATCATCCTTATATGACCGACTCTGACTTCTGGCACTTTGCCTGTGCAGACATTTTGTGATTTAAAAAAAAAATATATATATATTTTTTGTTTTATAAACTCGACTAAAACGCTACCCCAATTGCGTTCTGTCTGCTTTCTTCGAAATGTGTTGCATCCATTTCTAATTAGGGACTCATACCTACGCACAGTGTTATTAAGTGTAGCAGCAGGTCCAGCCTTATCTGAATAATACGAAGACACGAGAGGATCCTCCAGATGGCAAACAAACACATGCACAATCACGCATACACTCGCAGATTTTAATTACCAGTTCTACTGTAGCTGAATAAATGACAATAGGGTAAGGGCTAAGCTCAAACTAACTCAAGTTACAGTCTTTTTTGGGCTATTTTTTAATAATTCGAGTGAGTTCAATCTTAAAGTAAAGAGGGTCTCACACAATGGAGACGGAGTGAAAACCTACCCACAACTCCAACAATTATCTCTGAAGGGCATGCAGAGAAGTAACAGCATCGATTAATGTCTCATTTCAAGTGCAAGAACCAATGCAACGAGCGAACCGCGTGAAAAGTTTCATGTGAGCCTGAACAATAGCAGAGCCCTCTGCTCTTGCTTATGTTGCTTCTATACAATCTCAATATGAACAGTCCCCTCGTTATAAATATTCAGATCCTGCAGTTGTTCTCATGTCTAAAGTGTACCAGACAACAGATTCTATCCACGTTGAGAAGGCAACGCTCCCTGGCAACAGTTCTACCAATCGGGACCGAGCAGGCGTCTGCCTGAGTCTGTCTGAGTATCATTATGGGATGTCAGTGAGAGAGAGAGAGAGAGAGAGAGAGAGAGAGAGAGTCTCCTTGTCTTTGCTTATAGTGTAACTGTCTGTCTATAGACCTTGCTGGGTAAAGTTGTCTCCACATAGCTGGGAAAAAGAAAAAAAGGGAAAAACATCTAAATAAACTGCTATGATTCATGCAGTTACGTAATAAAGAGGCAACTATGAAATTATTTGTTGTGGGCTGAACATTGTCTGCTATCTCTCCACTTGCATTCACTCAATATGCACCAATTATATGCGCTGACGATGTGGGCTTATCTTGTGTCTGAGGAGAAGAAGAAGAAAAAAAAGACACTTTCAGTTTAGACCAATGAAGGAATGCTGTCTGAGACGACACAACAATCGCGCTATGATAATGCGTTCACTTTTAAAAGCCCAAGTCAGCAAGGGTTTTATGTACAACCGTCACCTTAATTAACTTATTTTTCTCTTAATTGAATTCACAGCTGAATGAATCTAACCCCTGCTGTGTCTTTGTTTTGTCTGGGTCACAAAGCTAGGCTGTAGAGTTAGAGTTTAGACACTTTGTGTTATGGGAGCAAGGTGTTTCTCTTTTTTCTGCATCCCAAAAGTAGATAGATTTGACTGGTTTTCAAAAATTAAAATAAAAATAATTTAAAAAAAAGAACAAACATGCTTAGTCATATTTGCCAAATGCCAAGAAGAAGTAACCTAAGCAAATACAAAAAAGTAGTGACCAATGGTGATGTCATTTATTAAAAGTAAAAAATATAAATAAAATAAAATAAAATCCTTGTCTGAAAGTATAGTTGACTCCCTTGGTAAATCACATATCTAGAGTGATTAAATAAATGTTTGTTTTTTTTTTGGTTCACATTTACCTGCCTTTTCCCTAAAACTGTGAAATCAGTAAAATACAGCCTGGCTGAGAGCATTGAAGCAGGATAAAAAAAAAAATCTCAAAAAGCAACACTTCATACCCTGATCTTAAGAAATTCAAGAACAGATAAGAAAGGGTTATATTGTCATTTTCAAAGCTTTGGGACTCCAGCAGACCACAGCAAGGGCCATTATCCACACATGGAGAAAGTATGGAACAGTGGTGAATCTTTTCAGCCTTGCAACAATTTGATAATTCAACCAGGAGATCACAAAGGAACCTATAGCAACGTCTGCAACGACAGATTCATGATTCGACAGGAAGAGAGATTGGTCAAAAACTGCATCCATGGGAGATCCGAGCTGTCAAAAGAACATAAAGGCCTGTTTCCATTTTACAGAAAAACATCCCAATGATCCTCAAAACTTTTAGGAAACTAATTTGTTGACAGATGGGCCAAAAATGCAGAGTTTTTGGAAGGAGTTCTTTCCATTACATCTGGGCGAACATCTGACTCCATTTTAGTAAATGAATACTTATCTTCCATGGTTGTGGTAGATTGAAGCCGATTCGCGTCTTCAAATTTGGTGAGTTGTACTCACTACATTTTGTGAGTAAACCTTATGAAGGATCAAGATTTAAACCTGTTTTGCAGACTTGTGTGGTTTCCAAATGAAGTAGGTCAGTCAAGCACTAGCGCTGAGACACTGCACCCATTTCTTTTAAAAGCACCTTGGTGACTTTTGAAAGCACAAAAATTCAGACTGATTCAAAGCTTAATTCTTATAATTCAAAGAGCATAAATGAGAGGTTTAACGACGGATTTGCTCAGGATATGAGAGTTTTGACATATTTTGGAAAAAAAAAAAAAACTAAGCATGCCCAACTTTACTTTTCACAAATGAACAAAGAGTTTTACTGATCACAATCCACCATCATCACAGGACATTTTGATTTATTTTTCATACTCATTTTAAATGCTCACTTTCTGTGTTTTTTACAACTAAAATTAGTTTTTGCCAGTCTCAAGCTGCATTTAAATAACGTATAAGCATCCAGTTCAGGTTTGATCAGTTCAAGCATACTAGACTTTTTTCTTTTGAACAAAACATTTTTACTTGAACTGTTTAAACTCAACCCTGACAAACAAAAACTTGTGCGGTCAAAATACTCGAACTTTTTAATGAATCAATAAAAAACTTTTTTTAATGTAATCTGAGCTGTTTCCATCCTCTCACGTTGGCACATTGGCAGGGCTGTGGACAAACAGATGCTCAGGCCCTTCCCTTCCCAGTAGCAGCTTGATGACTG